TGGCCGCTAATGCACCTCGAATTTGACAGGGCATTAAGACATGATAAGGGGACCGAACTCTATTAGCTGCGCGAAGAATTTACATGTTATTATGGGGATACGGTCTGTCGGCTCAACTGACGTTTGAAAGTCATGATTACTATACCAACGCAAGTGATTAAAACGGATACAAAACCTGTTGAAGCAACCACTGGGTGTAGGACACAGTAATAGGAACCCACCGGTAAGATGTGTGGCCTTGCGCAAAATTATAGGAAGAGTTTATACCACCAAGTGTTAGCACGGACCCTAAGGCTTGCTTACTTAAGTGGTGTTCAGCGAGTTAAAACAATTTATTTCACCTAGTTGTGAAAAAGGCAGCCTTCTCAGTAGGACTCGAAGCTATGGCAACGAGGACAAGGCTTATGTACGATTAACACTCCAAACATCCAAGTGACGAGGCCCTAGAGGGGGCAGTGAGGCAGATCAGGTTATACACTCAGCCTCATAGTCCAGGTGGTTAGAGCCTCGACTGTACCCACGCCTTCTGCTTGTTGTCACGTTTTTGAATCCCACCGTGGCCATCGAGGTTTTTCGCAATCGGATCACAGAAATTGTTTCCATCTGAAAATTTTTTTTATAAGACTACAACTTTAATTTGTGCAACATTAAAAAAATCAGCAAACCAGTTCAGATGCAAGCGCTTCTTAAGCCACACGCAGAAGTCAAACTGGTTATTTAATCTAGAAACAGGAATTCTGGAATGACTACCTGCGGCTTATTTGTCACCACTGGACAACGGGTCACACCACAAACTCAGGCACGGGGAGCCTTGAACTCGGATTACGTTAGTTATTAGCTTGGATGCCCAAGCACTTAGGCTGCAAACTCACCTCACGCCAGCTATAATCCAGAAAAAAAGATGAAAGCGAGATCACTGACACAGTCGGTTAATTAAGCATATAATGAAATATCCACAAAGACAAGGCAAATCAGAATGGCCACTTCTGGCTTATTTTTCGTCATCAGCCAGTGTGCAACTAATTGCCAAAGATCCTGGGTTCGAATTCCAAGTGGTTCACAAGTTGGATTGGGTATGGCTGCCTGATGACAGCTAATAAACCAGAAATGGCCATTCCGGCCAGTGAACCCCAGGGCACAACGGGACGTATATGCTCCATCCTCTGATCAGTAAGCATCACTTCATCATAGTCGGTTCATTATTCTGCATTTTTGAACTCATCTGAGACAGTGAGTGCAACGAAAACTTAACATCTTTGCAACTCAAAAGTATGAGAGGGAAGGGAGGGGTAGTGTCTGTGACCGGCACGGGCCCGAGTCGCTTAACTCACAATGGCCTCGCGGCATGATGACGGTGTGCGGTATTGCTCTCTCCCCCCCCTACATTCTCCACTCCTATATTGCTCGACTGCCAAAATGTACATTCGTATAAATAGAAAAGGAAGAAAGAAAGGCTGTTCGATCAACAGAATCACTTCTTTATTCATCTGAACCTTTTAAATCTTACTGGAGTTCATGGTTAGAGCTAAAAGAGACAGCAAAACAAGCAACAAGAAGATTTTAAAACCTTGGCTGAATACAGACATTATGCCGGCACTCGACCAGTCTTATCCTTTCGTACTCCTAGAATGTGAACACTCACCTCAATTCCTTCTCACTTGTTGCACAGTCTTCGATGAGATGCCCCTTGTACGAGTTTGAAAACTCAGACAGATAAATCTCCTTCTCCAGTGCTCGTGCAATACGAATTGATGTCTCGCATATTCGCCCTCTGTTCATACTCTGTAATATTAAAATACACGTGGTAGGAGTGGCTTCGATTAAACAGGCCAACTTTTAGGTCGCAGTATGGATGTCATCGCTAGGTCATCGTCGACAAAGGCTGTAAATGCGAGACTCTGGCCCGACGGTCTGTCAGCATTTTTTCCCGTAAACAATCGTTTGAATCTTTCCCAGCACAGCGAAGATTACTGCATTCTGCTTAAAATCCACCAATGACAGATGGCACTTAAAAGACACATCGGTACAGCCTATTCGAATTTTCGTGATTTTTCTGTCTGCTAAACCACTAAGCACGTAATCTAAATATTGTTCCGACTGTGTGGAAGATGCCAGGACTGTTTACTGAAGTGCTCCTTAAAACACCACAAGCTCTCTCACAGAAACCGCTTAGTAGATTTTTATTTATTAAAATTTAGAAAAAAAACAGCTCTAATGTAGATGTGGTTCTAAAAAGGAGGAGTTCTTAACTTGGAGTAAATCGGTCAGAAGGAGGTTGTACAATCTCAGTCCGAAAGTCGATATGAGCAGCAGAACCAAAATCCATTCGCTACGACCAGATAGCAGCGTAAGATACAT